CAAGATTAAAAAATAGCCAGATTTTGAGATATCGAGAACCAAAAACTGACCACATGCCTGTGTGCTGAAGGGCATTGAAGCTGTTGTGGTGCATTCGCTGGTTTGGTAATATTTCTTGATAGTGTTACAGTATCTACACATATAAATACTATAACATAAATGTATACAGTGTGTCCCATTTTAAAAATGATCCAGCCTAATATCTCGAAAACTAAAGCTAGTAAACAAAAATATTTCAGACGAAAGTTGTTTAGCTCGAAGGGGGTGCCTTAAGATAAGATGGTGCCATTGATTTGACTTCAGATAGTTCTCTGAAGGTCACGTGAAAGTCACCTTCAATTTTTTTAATGGAACCTTCTACTTTTCATTACATATTCTTATAGCTCATCTCGAGAGCTTTCTAAAACACTATAACTAAATTACTTTTCGTTAAATTTACTTTTTGTTAAGTTATAAGGCTGGAAAGTTGCAAAACAGTGGATTGTCATTTAAATAACCATTTCTACATACATAATCTAAAAATTATAACCTAAAAATTTGTAGATATAAAATTTAAAAATTAAGAAAGTGGAATTGAATTGTAGTTGTTAACTCGAATGGGTTTTTATTATACAGGGTGTCCCATTTTAAAAAACCCATTCAAATATCTCAAAAACACTGCGTTAAATTGAAAAATGTTTCAGACAAAAGTTGTTTGGCTTGAAAGGAGACATAAGACAGCGATAGCATTTTGTTTATAGATGGTGCCACTTTCGAGATATTCACTGATCATCAATTTTCTTAAATAGAAATCCCAAACTTTTATTATATCATTTTTTTTACCAACTAAGTTGAACAACTTTTGTCTGAAACATATTTTTATTTGCTTAACATTTTTTGAGATATTTAAGGAAAATTTGGTAACTTTTTCAACATTTAACTTGTGATACCTCGCTAACTATTCGTCGAAAGAAAAAATTGCACTAAACTTTTTACTTTATTTACTATCAAGAATATATTACTATAATAGTACCCTAACTTTTGTTAATTTAATAATTTTGAAATTTCCAAAGGTCGTTAAGTTAACAAAAGTTAGTGCACTATTATAGTAATATGTTCTTAATAGTAAATAAAGTAAGAAAGTCTAATACTATTTTTTCTTTCGACGAATAATTAGCAAGATATCGTAAGTTAAATGTTGAAAAAGTTACCAAGTTTTCTTTAAATATCTCAAAAAATAATAGGCAATTAAAAAAATGTCTCAGACAAAAGTTGTTCAAATTAGTTGGTAGAAAAAGATAATATGATAAAAGATTGAGATTTCTACTTAAGAAAATTGATAATCAGTGAATATCTTGAAAGTGGCGCCATATATAAACAAAATGCTTTCGTTGTCTTATGTCCCCCTTCACGCCAAACAACTTTTGTCTAAAACATTTTTTTATTTAACGCAGTGTTTTTGAGATATTTGAGTGGGTCCTTTAAAATGGGACACCCTGTACGTCGTTCGATTTTCGCATTGGATTTTCGCAATAGATTTTTTTGCTTGTCTACGTCACTCGTCTCAACCTTTCTGAAAATCTTCTATCCACTCTTTTTCTAATAATTCGCGTATTGGTGGATCATCTCACATACATGCATGAGTTCCAAATAATAAATGAAATGGTGTTGTACCAATGCTCCTATGTAAAGTGCAATTTAAATATAACTGAGCTAGATCGATAAACTTAAACCATTCTTCACGTTTAGGATCAGAAAGTTTGGTTAATAATGGCATTAAAACTCTATTTATGTGTTCAATTTGTCCGTTTGCTTGCGAGATATCGATGGTAGGCAATATATGTTTTATATTTCCTTCCAAACAATAATCTGAAAACTTTTTGAATGTAAAAGCCGCACTGCGATCGAAAATCCTTCTCCGTGGGTTTCCGAATATAGTTGATTGTTTTTTAAGTTTAGTTATAACTTCGGAAGCATTAACTGTCTTAGTGGCATATGACCATACAAATCTCGTGAACGCGTTAACGATTGCAAAAATATGCTTACAATTTTTCCTTGTTGATACTAACGGTTCCATGTGGTCAATATGATAGATGTCTAAAGGCAGTCGCCCTTTTCTATCGCGTTTAAGACTAAGTTTCTATCCTTCTTGCTGGCCTTGCTTTTTTTCGGCTAGGATGCAAGTTACAGTTTTTTATTACTTTTTCAATCTTTGACTTCGCACTCAGCATCCAATAGTCCTTTAATAACAACACTTCAGTTTTCGCAACAGAGAAATGACCCTTATTATGTGCTTGTTTAATAATTTGTATACACGTTGACGTTGGAACGACTAACAAAATATCTCCATTATGCTTTCTGAATAACAAGTCATTTCTTATCACGTAATCATTAATTTTTCCCGCTCTTACCGTGTTTGATATTTACTAGATATTTTTTATGTTTTCATTCATATATTTTCAAATCAAACTACGTGCACTCCGTTCAGTATTGTAATCGAGACTCAGCAGCCAGGGAGAGAGGGAGGAGCGAGGACAGCGTGACAGCGACACAATAAACGAAGGTTATATAGTACAAATTCGCAGTGACTCATTATCCACTAACACACAACTATATACAGTCCACTACTTTAAAGCAAATACAACATATTAACTGGTCAAAATGAGCCGGATATCGAGTCAGAGAAGTCAGCAGCGTTAGACAAACGCAACCTAACCTGTACACGCGTCCTCGAAGGCATATCGAACAGCAACATTCGTTGCGCAAGCAAACGCAAGAGCATTCTTGTGCACTCATATTCATCGATACGAGCAAACATGCATTTTGGCTGTCTCATCGCAAAGAGACAAGGAAGGAGACATTCACATCAGTGAGACAAGCCATCAACCAGTGCGAGGGACAATCCCCGAACGGTGGTGCACGTAGCAGCTCTACGTACAAAGAACGGAACGAAAACATCGGCGTATCATCGGCGTGGCGTGAGTTCTTTCTGATTCATACCTCTATCCAAATCCATTACCCTCAATATTTGTGTCATTAATCACCTCGTATCATTTTACATAACCTATACATTTGTATCATCGCATTAATATCATTTTCTTCGCAGCAAAATAGCTGAGCCGAAAGGCGAAAAATCTCTCATTCGAACTCGCGGTTCAATTAAAGCACGCTTAACGAACTTCAAAAAATATATCGATAAATTGACTGAATTAGACGATGCAAGTGTAACGATCAACGAGACGACAATTATAGAAGCAGAGCAACGCCTTCAAAAAATCGAAGAACTCTTTTATGAATTCGGAAAATGTCAGTCCGAGATAGAGCGTACAGTAGAGAATGACGAAGACTTTGAAGAGCAAATTAAACAAAAAACGGTTTTTGAGGAAAATTACTCTAGTGTCATTTCAAGCGCAAAACGGTTCCTAGCAGATGTGCAGATCACCTAGCAGATCACCGAAAGTGGAAGCGTTCGAACACATTAATTCAGGATCAAGTCATTCCGGGCATACGCAATTTGCGAATAGAAATTTACATCGTGATTTAGGCGTTAAGTTACCAAAAATAGAATTACCATGTTTCGGTTCATATGATAATTGATCGATTTTCCATGACACATTTCAATCATTAATACATAAGAGAGACGATACCTTAGACATAGAAAAGTTTCATTATTTGCGTGGATCGCTTAAGGACAATGCTGCGAAAGTTATTCAACATTTGGAAATTTCAGCCGTAAATTATCAATCCGCATGATCCTTGCTTGAGAAACGATACGAGAATAAATCTCTTATGATATATAATCATATCAAGGGAATTGTAGGATATCCAAAAATCGTTAAAGAATCTGCAACAGCAATTAGGCAACTTGCAGACACCATTCAAGGTCATTACACGTGCATTACACTCTCTAAAGCAACATGTCGATCATTGGGATAGTTTGCTCATTTTTTTGATATCGGAAAAGTTCAATGCGAATACGGAAAAGGAATGGGAGTCGGAGTTACTGAAATCCACATACTTGCTTACTCGAATCATATTGCTAGATTTTCTTTAGAGAAAAGGTGCCATTTTCTAGAAAAAATTGAGAAGACGACATCGCCAATCATTAATAAGTCACAAATTGCGAAATTCAAGCAAAGAGGTAAACCGCAATCACAATTATCACACGCTGTCACACAAAGATTCGCTTGTCCATTGTGCAAGGAACAACATCCTTTATTTTCATGCAAATCATTTCTTGATCTTTCCGTTCACGAACGCATGGCTCGAGTAAAGCAATTAAAATTGTGTTTTAATTGTTTGAGAGGAGGTCACATGAGCACTGGATGTAAAAGCAGTCACTGCCGCAAATGCGACAAATTTCATAACACTTTACTTCATATCGACACATTAAACATACAGGGCGAAGAAAGGGTAACTTCGCAAGGGACGGATACACGAACACCGCCTACATTATCAAACTCAGTAGTAAATCATGCGACACCAAATAATAACACTCACAAGATACTAGCAACAGCAATAGTTTACATAACGGATAGCAATGGGAAAAAACACAATTGTGTCGCATTACTTGATGGAGGCTCGCAATCTAACTTTATGATAACAAGTTTGTGTTATCGCCTAAATCTAACCATAGCCAAGGTAAACATTCCTATAATAGGTATTAATCAAAGCAAAACAAAGGCAGTCGAGTCAGTGGTTGCAACGATTAAATCTAGACCTTATGAGGCTACTATTTCGTTCTTATTGCTTCCCAAAATTACGGATAATCTGCCTTCCAAATCAATAAACACTGATTTACTCAATTTGCCAAAAGGGATAGCTCTCGCTGATCCCAAGTTTCATGAGTCGAAAAAAATCGATATTTTGTTGGGTACTGATATATTCTGGGATTTATTGCAATAATTAGCAATGATCGCATACAGCATCCTCATTTATACAAAACGCAATTAGGACACGTAATTGCTGGTCAGATTCCTCGACATCATAGAGTGAAGGCACGCACTTCATGTAATCTTAGCATGTCAGCTATATCCAATCAGTTAGCTCGGTTTTGGGAAGTAGATAATTATTCGCAAACCAAAGAACTCTCAATCGAAGAACAATCTTGTGAGTCTCACTTCGCACACACAGTCAAAAGAGATGACAATGGTCGATTCATAGTATCAATGCCTCTCAAGGGTACTTTTAATTCATTAGGAAATTCTAAAGAACAAGCAATCCGACGTTTTTTATCGTTGGAAAAAAGACTACAATAATAAGCCGTTAGCGGAAAAATACATCGAATTCATGCGACAGTATGAAAGTCTGGGTCATATAGTCAGGGTCGATGATTCCGTTATGAATATATACGCGTATTACATGCCTCATCACGGAGTACTCAAAGAAAGCAGTTCAACCACTAAATTACGTGTCGTATTTGAAACATCCGCTCCGTCCAGTATGAATGTTTCTCTTAACGATTTACAGATAATTGGTCCTACCATCCAATCAGATTTATTATCAATCGTTTTACGATTTCCTACGTATCCATACGTAATGAGCGCGGATATAACCATGATGTATCGACAGATACTTATGACAACCGACCATCGCCCCCTACAAAGAATTGTGTGGAGATCGAACCCGACCGATCCTATTCAAACATTCGAGTTACAAACTGTCACATATGGGGTAGCTTCTAGCTCTTTTCTCGCAATTAGATGCCTGTTTGAGTTGGCGAAGGAGTTCGAGGCGTCACATCCCAAGATTGTACAAATTATTAGAGAATCGATGTATGTCGATGACATAATTTGTGGAGCTCACTCAATTCAAGAAACATCACAGATTTCCGGCGAGCTAAAGCGCATTCTCAGATCAGGCGGATTCGAGCTTAAAAAATGGGTAGCAAATCATCCAGACATTCTCAGTGATATAGGTAGTTCAGACGATCCTAATGATGTTCTAGAAATAGGTGCGAATCAAAGTATAAAGACTCTAGGGCTCTCATGGTCCTGTCATTCAGATCATCTTATTTATCAGATCAACATTGACAACTTAGAAAAACAGCCGTCCAAGTGGACCATGCTCTCAGCGATTTCGAAAATATTTGATCCGCTAAGATTACTCAGCCCATGTGTCATTATCGCAAAGATAATGCTGCAGGAATTATGGCTAAACAAATATGGTTGGGACGAATCGGTAGCAAGCAAGATCGCAGAGAAGTGGGAAAGGTTCAAATCAGAACTTTCTCTCTTGAAGGATTTGCGCATCATCCGTTACGCATCTTGCCCTTCACCAGAGCGCGTAGAAATCCACGGATTTTCTAACGCAAGTGAGGCGGCCTATGGTGCATGTATATACATGCGTTCAATAAATGCGCATGGCAGGGTATTCGTGCATCTATTGTGCGCTAAAACTAAGGTCGATCCTTTGAAATCCTTAACCATTCCAAAATTGGAGCTTAATGCTGCCGTCATCCTAGCTAAACTCATAAAGAAGGTTATAGACTCGTTAGATATCCCTATTCATCGCGTTTGCCACTGGTGCGATTCTACTATCGTGCTAGCCTGAATAGACACAGAACCGCACCTATTGAAGACATTTGTGAGCAACTGCGTAAACGAAATTCAGTCTCTGTCTAATTCACTAGAATGGAGACACGTGTCCACAAAGGAAAATCCAGCAGATTTATTATCACGAGGTTTAGTGCCAAAACTTCTAATGACATCTTCCCTATGGTGGGAAAGGCCTTTTCCAAGTAAAACTTATAACTATAATAAAACTCTACAACACTATTCTACTGTACAAAAGAAGTGATATATTAGACAGTAGCGCCAACTGAGAAACCTAATATATATTGGCATAAATTTTTACAAGTAATTACATGTAAAATTACATGTAAAATTTACTGTCCCAACAACTAAAGTATCAGTAGCAGGACAGTTATATGGTATGTAGATATATAATATATATTATATTATACAAAAGAAGTGATATATTAAAACAGTACCGCCAACTGAGAAATCGTATACTTAATATTTTTAGAAATCTCAAATTCAAATTATTTCCTTTTTGTAAGATATATATTATATACATAACATAAGTTTTTACAAGTAAAAATGATATCGTGTTATAAAAATTTAACACGTTTATTAATAGTGTCCAATATTTAAAAAAAGATATCTTTTTTAAGGTTATTATTATTTGTACATAACATAAGTTTTTACAAGTAAAAATGATATCGTGTTATAAAAATTTAACACATTTATTAATAGTGTCCAATATTTAAAAAAGATATCTTTTTAAAGGTTATTATTATTCAAGAAAATTCAAGAAAAACTAACTACAATAGATGACAATAACATAAATTTTTATAAAATTCATCATTATTTATCAGAACACTGAGTTATATGATACTATTTACTGGGTTGTCACGGTTATTATTATTTTTTACAATAACAGCAATGCAAGTAACGCGCGTTAACTTATTAACTTTGTAACGGCCGAACTCCGCGGTTCGGTCGCTGCTACGCGTTTCGCGCGGATATTGCTCGTCGGAGTCCGGGCTCGAGGAGGAGTAAAGTAGCGAGACACTTGACAATGGCAATCGAAATAACTTAGCTTTATTGTATGCTTACTGAGATACAAGAGTTCGGCCCCGAAGGCGGTGTCGCGGGTTGCGTCTATAAGGCGCGTCGGTAAGGTACGGTGCGGTGCGGTGAGCGGTACAAGCGCTCGTACGGACGGATAGGCCGTGCGGAAGGCGGGGCCTATTGCGCGATGCGTGTAGACGGTAACGACGGTAATGGCGCGGTGATCGGTCTCGCTTCGCGACGCTGGACGTCTCGGACAATTATCGCCCAATACTCGTCTCGCAATCGTTCGCGTATAGATGGTCGCCGGACCGGAGATTTTGATTCTCGGTCGAACGCACGCACGCGAGTCGCGGGATACGCGAAATGATTTCGTCCGTCGGGGCCGAGGACTCTCGACAGAGAAGGCGCACGCACCTTCCCTTTTCCCTACGTTCGCGGAGGAAAGCGACCAAGTGCTGCGGACACTCAGCGGAGACGGCGGACACACCGTCCCGGGTTCTTGGTCGCTAGACGGATCGCCTAAAGGCTGAGTACGCTCAGCGGAGTTCGCCGACGGACGAACTCCTGATTCAAGGCGGCGGGTAAAGGCGAGACTATCGAGTACGCTCGACTGAGCACGCGCACGCACGAGCCCAGGAAGACGGGGACGGCCAAGTATCGAGGACGCTCGATCGAGAACTGCGGACGCACAATCCCGTGTTCTTAGTCGCCGGTCGGGTAGTCGGAAAGCGGAAGGCAGAGCGAAACGGTCCGGATCTTCTAGCTGTCGGCATAGAGCGTCTAACTAGAACGGCGGTACGGATCGGTCTGGTGTCTAGAAGCTCGATTGCCGCCGTTTTATAGTTGATCGCGCTACGATTGAGACGGCGGTGATCGAGCGGTGCGCCTATCGGCGCGAGGCACGGTGACGGCGCGTGATCGCGGCCGTGCGCGCTAGCGGCATCGCGTGATCGCTGCGGCGCGCGATAACGGCGGCGCGTGATAGCGGCGGCGCGATCGTTTCGGTAACTTAGGGTGGCACAAAGTCGGGTTCTTCGGCCCGACAGGTGGTCGGTCGGGCCGGTAGTAACGAGGTGCATCTGCGCCTCGTTACAACTTTATATTAAATTAAAAAAAAAACAAAAAATTTAATCCTAACATACAAGGAATTGAAAAAAATTATGAAGATTCACCAAAAATAAAAAAACCTTTGGCGCGTCCGGGTCATATTAACAATTTTAATGTCGGCTACAGAAGTATGAGTTTTAATGCAGCTTAATAACCCGGGCGCGCCAAGGGTTTTTTTTATTTTTGGTGAATCTTCATAATTTTTTTTCAATTCCTTGTATGTTTGGATTAAATTATTTGTTTTTTTTTTAATTTAATATAAAGTTAATAAGTTAACGCGCGTTACTTGCATTGCTGTCATTGTTAAAAATAATAATAACCGTGACAACCCAGTAAATAATATCATATAACTCAGTGTTCTAATAAATAATGATAAATTTTTACAAAATTTATGTTATTATCATCTTTTGTAGTTAGTTTTTCTTGAAATTTCTTGGATAATAATAACCTTTAAAAAGATACCTTTTTTAAATATTGGACACTATTAATAAACGTGTTAAATTTTTATAACACGATATCATTTTTATTTGTAAAAACTTATGTTATGTACAAATAATAATAACCTTAAAAAAGATATCTTTTTTTAAATATTGGACACTATTAATAAACGTGTTAAATTTTTATAACACGATGTCATTTTTACTTGTAAAAACTTATGTTATGTATATAATATATATCTTAAAAAAAGGAAATAATTTGAATTTGAATTTTCTAAAAATATTAAGTATACGATTTCTCAATTGGCGGTACTGTTTTAATATATCACTTCTTTTGTATAATATAATATATATTATATATTATATTTCTCTTTCTAATAAAAATCACTCTCACTCTCTATCTTCCTCTCTCTCTCTCTCTCTCTCTAGCTCTTTCTCACTCTCTCTCATTCTCTCACCCTTTCAACCCCTCACTCTCACACTTTCCCTTACTCCTAAATTCTTTCACGCTCTCTCTCTCTCTCTCTCTCTCTCTCTCTCTCTCTCTCTCTCTCTCTCTCTCTCACCCTCTCTCATTCTCTCCCATACTCTCATTTTCTTTCATTCCCTCCCATACTCTCATTTTCTTTCATTCTCTCTCATTCTCTCCTATGCTCGCCTATTCTGTCATTCTCTCTCATTTTCTTTCTCACTTTCACACTTTCTTTCACTCCCAAACTCTCTCAAGATCTTTCACTCTTCCACTCTCTCTCACTCTCATTATCTCTCATTCTCTTCCATTCTCTCCCTTTCTCTGCCATTCTCACTCATTTTCTCTCTCATTCTCATACTTTCTCTCACTCCCAAACCCTCTCACGCTTTCTCACTCTCCCTCTCTCATTCTCTCATTTTCTCATTCTCTCTTTTTCTAATAAAAATCATTATTTTATTATTTATTATTATATTATATATATTTATTATAAATACATTATGTATAAATACATATCGCATTCGCTGCTATGTGCTTCTTCAGCGCTCTCATAGCGATGCACGCATAGCCCCACTCCTTTGCGTCCGATATTTCTTTTTTATCTTATTACTGAGTCGAAATTTTCTTTTGTTAATATATCGGGTCATGATTAGGGGTAGGAGTTGAATATGTACTCTCGAATCTTAATAAACTTAGTAGTTAAATAACATCACACTAAAATTAAATAATATCTTATCGATCATTATAAGTTCGCGTTTTACATAATTGTAAAAAATTCATTACGATCAAATGTACAACAAAGTAAATATCAAGTGGTATCAAGGTGAAATATAGTTGGAACTTTTCGAGATATATTCAAATCGATGTTATTTGAAATCATTTTATTGATTCACAACATGTATACGTATATGTTTACTTTAATATTTTTATGTTTCGAGATGTCCATAAAAACTTGAACATATTTCAAAAAGTTCCTTTATCTACATGTGCAAAAAATCTCTATTACTACAATTTTGCAAAATTGGGCCGACAAATGAAAATGTAAAATTTAATTAAAAATAGAGAGACATACAAATCAGGCAGTGCTTATTTCTTTTCTAATATTCCAGCTGTATGTATTCGCTTGATGCACCATTTATACGTGTAAAAGTCCATATAATATATATACATATATTAAGGAAACTCCATTCCTCGCTCCATACCGACGAATTTTAATTGTTCCGTTGGTCCATATCTGAAAATTATCGCATAATTTTAATTGTTTGCAATTAATAAATTAAACAAAATATTACAGCAACATACCTATAGTCAAAAAATAATTCTTCACCAGGTTGAATCGCTCTCTTAGCAAAAATACCTATTCCATGATCACCGTTCACCATCATCACTTTTGCATAACAATTTGGATTTATCGAGTAATTAGCGAACTTTATTTTATTCCTTTTCCGTGTCGCGTCTATAACAAAATCTGAAACCGACCAAAAACTTTTAAGTTTTGTCATTTTTCAACATTTAATTAACCACTATATCTATCTCTACTTACCATTGTTAAGATTAAAAAGGAAACTACACATATATTTATCATATACTTTTCCCCGCCTGTCAGCTTCGTCTTGACTGACAATTTCGCTGCAATATTCCTAGATGAATTCATTCTTCGCTGCTGATATTTCAAATTGTATAAAATATATTTCAAAACAAAAATTCTACTCATTGAGATTATATTGATTTTCACTCTAATAAATTAAATTTTTCGAAACTTATAAAGACCACCTTACACGCTAACATTTTTGCAAGAATTTTAGAATTGATTTGGAAATGATCTGCATCATATGTTTGGCAAAGATCCGGATCACATTCCCTGACAGCCAGATAACAAGGACACTGATTTGTATTGCATTGCGCTTTACACCTACACTCAGGAAATCTGTTCTGGCATTCGCTGCTGCACTGATAAAACTTCTCGCAGAAGTTTTGTGCTTGTATACATGGGCATGAATTATCACATTGATAGCCGGGTTGACCACAAGGTGCAAAATTGTGCACGTGATTAGCACCTATTCATTCAAATGAAACGTATGAATTAGAGGCAAATAAGATGAGGGGATAGTATAAAATTTAACATACCCGAGTCCTTCTTAAGTTGTATTTTCCGGCAATGCATAGACCACAACCGATGCTTTTTTCTTTTTTCGCGGCGGTGTGAAGTCCTTGAGATTTTCTATAGCAGGAATGTCCGAAGCTTCTTTCTGCGCAAATTCGTAAACTTCCTTGCATGTTTTTGTTAATAATCATTTTTGTTAATAATCATACTTCCTTCTTAATCAATCATTGATGTTTAATAAAAAAATATCCTAATCAATCACTAATGTATCCCACTGACGATGCACTGATGTTGCGTGCTTAATGTATGTATATAGGGTATCCCATTTTAAGTGTCCACCCCAAATATCTCTCTTATTTTTTATTTTAAAGAAGAATAGTTCAGACAGGTTTTGTATGGTTTCGAAGGGGCCATAAGATGGTACCATTGATTTGACCTTGAAGAGTCATTTGAAGGTCACGTGAAGGTTACCTCAACTTTTCTAGATAGCACTCCCTATTTTTTATTACACACTCTTGTAGCTGATCTCGAGAGCTTCCCAAAATACTATAATCAAATGCTTTTTGGTGAAGTACTTTTCGAGTTATAAAGCTCCAAGTTTACAAAATTTTGATAAAAATACAAAATATTTCATTAAACATTTACTTTCCGATAGTCTTATCTTATATGATCTAACCAGTCAAGGCAAGATCCGAGCATGATCCAACCAGTCAAGGCAAGAACCGAACATGATCCTTTTTTCTTTGTTAACGCAGAGGAAACCCATCATGGGTACCCTCCGTCCCCTGGGAGGGGCGGACGGTTATGTGAGACTCCTACTCACTAAAACCTCTGCGGGATGTCTACCAGTCGGACCGAGATAGGGGGAGTCAGGGGAACTGCGCCAGCATTCCCTCCCCGACACCCCGGCCCCAGGGCTCATTTGTTGAGTCCCACGCCCACGTGCCGCGCCCCCTTCTTCCTAAAGACAAGGTCTGGGCGCGGCGCCCCGATCGGCTATGCCGATCGAGTTGGTCTTACGGTTTCATTTACGGGAGAGAGAGGACATGCCTACCCTCCCTCCCCGTCCCCTCCCGTTCGGAGTATCCTACTCCGGGGGGGGCGGGGGAGCGTGTCTCTTTCCCAGAAGGCCTCGCTTCCCCCTTTCCTTCCTCTACCGACGCGCGAGAGAGCGTGGGCGGGGGTTCTCACCCCCCTCTCGACATCCCTCCACCGCGCGTCCGAAGTCGGCTCCGAGGCGGCCGAGGGGGCGGTCTCCGGCGGACCGGTCGCCGTTCCCTCTCGGCCGGCGCCACCTCGGGGCCGCTATCATCTCCCGGGGAGCGCCGCCTTCTACCCCGCCGCACCCTGAGATCGGGATTAGGCCGACGCTCCCACTCGGCGGCCTCCTTCTGGGACATGATATCCCTGCAGAAGGAGGCCGCCGCCCCCCATGCCTCCTCGCTCCCGCACATGGCAAGGACCATGCGCGGGAGCGAGAGATCCTCCACACGGCACCCGACCGCCCGGGCCAGGACTCGGCGCTCTTGGCTCCACGCCTCGCATTCTGCGAGGGTGTGCCGCGCCGAGTCCTCCGGCTCCGGGCAGTGGTGGCACTCGATGGTGAGTTCTTTCCCCATTCGGTGCAGGTACCCATGCTCCGAAGCATCCATGCCCCGTTAGTACCTGCACCAAGTGGAAAGAGAGTCCGCGCCCTCTCCTGCCCACCATTTCCGGTAGGGGCGGATAGCCTCGGCCGTCTGGCGACCGAATCCTCGCGGATCGGCTAATTTGGCCGACCACTTGTCGAGGATTCGGTCACCGACCTGGGTCTTCAGGGCCCTCATATCCCTGGCCGATAGCCCCTCCTCCCTTTCGCGGAGCTCCCTTATGCGCCAGTAGAGGAGATACCTCTCTTCGGCGAGGAGCTCCACTGGGGGGGAGCCGGCCAGGGCGGCCGCCGCCGTGTACGAGACTGTGGCGTACCCCCAGATCGCCCTCACCAGCACCGGCCGCGTGGCCTGCCACAGCAGGTCCCTGTTGCGGCTGGTGGCTAGGAGTCGGGGCGCCCATATAGGAGCCCCGTACAGGGCGACCGAGAGCACAGTGCTCACGTACAGGTGGCGTGCCCGCCATCCAGGGCCCCCCTGGGTCCGCATCAGGCCGGCCAAGGCCGTGCCTACCTTGCGGACCCGGGGGGCCAGGCACCTGAAATGTGGCCCGAATTCCCACCGGCTGTTCAGCGTCAAGCCTAGATATTTTATCGTGGACTTGACGCGGACGCGGACACCGTCCACCAGGACCCGGGCCCTTCGCGGCCTCCCCTGACCACGTCCATGAAATAACATGGCCTGGGTCTTCTGGGGGGGCCACCGAGCATGATCCAGCCAGTCAAGACGAGATCCTGTATTGCCTGATAATCAATGAACTGTAACAATTGTGAAAGTGCAATTGTCAATTCTTTTAATTAAACAAATATCAAGAGGCTTGTTTCAAATTTCTTACTTGGGCAACTGTCGGTATTTTGGCGAAGTCTCAGACAGACGCATATTATTATCCATTGACTTTTTTTTGATAAGACAGGAATTTTTGGTTTTCTAGCGCTTTTTTCTTTGTAATTATGGCTGCTTATCCACCAAATGAAATTGTGGACATGATTCGCATTTTGGGTGAGGCCAGGAATAATTACTCGGCAGCAGAAAGGCTTTATGCTGAAAGATTTCCAGACAGACGCCATCCTGATAGGAAAGTAATAAAAAGACTCTGCGACAAAGCTGAACAGGGTTTTCTTAGAAGAAACCGGCGAAAATCGGGCCCTGATGAAGTCATATCATTGACTGTTATAGGTGCCGTTGCTTTGAATCCTCAAATCTCTACGAGACAAATTGAGAGGCAATACGGTATATCTAAATCAACAGCCAATCGTGTGCTCAAGCTCAACAAGTTTCACCCATATCACATTCATCTAACTCAGCAATTAGAAGAGAGGGACTATCAACGCCGTGTACGTTTTTGTAACTGGGCTCGAGATCAAATCCAACAAAATCCCCGGTTCATTGCTGATACGCTTTTTTCTGATGAAGCCACGTTTTGTAATAGAGGAGGCGTTAATAGATATAACTGCCATTATTATTCAGATGCTAATCCACATTGGCAGAGATGCCAAGAGTTCAAACGGCAGTGGTCCATTAACGTTTGGGCAGGCATCATGGGAGATGTTATTGTTGATCCATATTTTTTTAGAAGAAAATCTCAATGTGGCAATCTATTTAAGATTTCTTCAAGATGACCTGCCCAACCTCTTGAGACATGTCGACAATGATTTACTCAGACTAATGTGGTTCCAACAAGATGGAGCACCGGCTCATAGATCTCGAGCTGTTATACAATATTTAAACAACAAATTCCCGAATAGGTGGATTGGTATGGGCAGCCGAGTTCAAGAATGGCCCCCAAGATCACCCGACTTGACACCCCTAGAATTTTATTTCTAAGGCTACATTAGAGATATAATTTATTCACAAAAGCCTACAACCGTTGAAAATATGAAAAACCGGATCAGACAGGCTTGCAGAAATATTAATGTAGGTGTTCTTGAAAAAGTTAGGGACGACTTTCACCATAGACTAGAGCTACGCATACAAGTAAATGGCCAAGTTTTTGAACACTTTAAGTGATTGTACACAAAAGAAGATTTTGCCTTGACTGGTTGGATCATGCTCGGATCTTGCCTTGACTGGCTGGATCATGCTCGGATCTTGCCTTGACTGGCTGAATCATGCTCGGATCTTGCCTTGACTGGCTGGATCGTGTTAGGATCTTGCCTTGACTGGCTGGGTCATGCTCGGATCTTGCCTTGACTGGTTGGATCATGTAAGATAAGACTACCGGAATGTGAATGTTTTACGTGAAATATTTAAAATTAAATTAAATTAAGTGAAATATTTTGTATTTTTATCAAAATTTTATAAATTTGGAGCTTTATAACTCGAAAAGTACTTCACCAAAAAACATTTGGTTATAGTGTTTTGGGAAGCTCTCGAGGTCAGCTACAAGAATATGTAATAAAAAGTAGAGGGTGCCATCTAAAAAAATTGAGGTAACTTTTACGTGACCTTCAAATGGCTCTTCAATGTCAAACCAATGGTATCATCTTATGGCCCCCTCGAAACCATACAGAACGTGTTTGAACCATTTTTCTAGAAAATAAAAAATAAGAGAGATATTTGGGGTGCACTCTTAAAATGGGACACTGTAGATATACAGGGTGCACGATTTATCTGAAGACATTGAAATATCTCGAGAACTATGCATTGGATAAAAAAAAGTGGTTAATGAAAGTTGTTAGTCTCGAAGGGGGCTATCCAATGATACCAAACTCGACCTTCCACCCCACCCCTTGGGGGTGGGGGTTGGGGTAACTTTGAAATTTTAAACGGAAACCCCCATTTTTTATTGCAGATACGGATTCTACGCCACAAAATACGTAAATTTTGTTCGAAACTTTTTTTTTATTCGTAATAGATGACGCTGTCATCGCAAAAAATTATATTTTCCGCAATTTTCCAAAAATGATCATTGGATTGAGAAATAAAAACTACTTGCTCAATATTTTTAAAGAATATAATAAAAGTTATTCCCCCCTATCCTCTCGGGGTAGGGTGGGTGGTAACGTTCAAATCTCAAATGCGAACCCGAATCGAAGAGGGAACTGCTCGACGCGCCACTGTGGGTGTATGGCGAACTACGGCTTATTATAAAAGGCAGTGCAATGCGGTCAGAGCTCACTTTTCTTTCATAATTAGAGCTGAAAGCATCTCTAACAATTTCATTTTACTTGACTAGTTTTTATTACCTGCATATCTACCCTTCATTCTTTGAACAGAATTGCAAGTGGAAAATGAATTCTGTAACCGTAGAAGAAAAAATTGAAATGATTCTGATTTATGGTGAATGTAAGAGGAATGTTGACGATGCTGTTGCCTTGTATGCTGAGCGTTTTCCAGACAATATTCGCTCACGTTCTTTTTTTTACAAAGTTGTGACTGCCTTTATTTCGGATGGCAGCGTACAAACTAAAAAAAAGAAAACGAAGAACAACTGTTACAGGAGAAGTTAATGAAATAGCTGTGCTAGCAGCTGTTCACCACAACCCACAGGTAAGCACTCGGCAATTACATCGCGATTTCGGAATTTCCGGAGATAGTATTCGCGGAATATT